TTCCATGTTCTTTTCCATTCCTCGGCTACCAAGTTGCCACCTGCCAGGTGCGGCAACCGACGCGAGGTCAGTTGCGAAAGGAGACAGCGAGATGTTCAACGTGAGGCGCCGTTGCTGGTTGAGGGCGTAGGGTTTTTGGCTTATGATCCTTGCGGTTTTTGGGGCTTTAGCTTTGGGGTTTAGAATTAGAACATATAGTAGTTTGAGCTGTAGATGCTCAGGCAAAATCTTTGTTTCGCGCAATTTCTCTGATTGTCAGATTGTCAGAAGATGGCATGAATTTGCGCCTGCGTCGTCATGACGCTGATGTGACGGGTTATAGGGTCAGGGTTTAGATGTTGCCTCCCATAAATGAAGAATCAACTGGAAACTGGGCCTTAAACTCTAAACCGTAAATCTTAAGGGGATGCCTTGCGAACTAGGGGGGGGGGGGACTGTAGGTCTTGGCTTTATAAGGATGACTGTCATGATGATAGTCCATGTCTAGGGTTTGGGGTTTGTGGTTAAGGGCTTTGGGTTGAGTACCCCAAATACTTATAGACATAGTCACGTTAAGGATTTAGCGGCACCATCACAATGACACAACAGCTGCCCAGCTCTTATTGCTGTGAATAACCCCATATAATCCCAGGTTCCATTAACTTTTAACCATATCCACTACAGCCCTTTAATCCCAGCTTGCATTCCATTGAGACAATATCCCCTAAAGGCCTTTTGTAGTCCCTATATATACTAAACCCTAAACCCTAAACCGCGTATATATATATACACGTATATATGTGTATATTTATATATATATATGCACGCATATATATATATACATACATATACATATGCCCTCGATATCTCGTCCCTGGATTCATTATTGGGCTGAGGTTTCGATTCCGCAGAATGGCGAGGCCAACCGAGCGCTGAGCCGCCGAAAGGTGTTAGACGTTCGGGGCTGCCACTAAATTAGAACGACTCAGGGAGTTTTGGGTTTGGGTCCCTAAACCATGGAATATGGCCGTTAATAAGTGTATTCTGGACCCAAAACCTAGGGTTACAAGCATTAAGGGTACAAACTTAAAGTCTTTGAAAGATTAAGTTCCTTCACCTATTCAAAAACCAGCCCCATCCCCTCCACTTAAAAAACTGTTGCAGCCAATATAGTTCCATCATAGAGTGGGGAGGAATGTCTTATCAGTGGGTCTGAAGGCCAATGTGCAGGGGGATGGGGATTACTATGATAATCATGAGCTGTTGTCACCACTAACTGCAGCAGTGCCGCTGGAAAGCACACCGACAACCTCGCGAGTGACAGAGCCGTTCAAGACAGGCGAGCATCGTGCCTCAAGCACCAGCTGATTTGTATGCTGGGTCCTTACAGTCTTTGAGCACTGCAGTGGTCTTTGTGCTGATTCGCATATACAGGGTTTGCACGCAAAATCGAGAACGCAGAGTCGAAGCCTAAAGCCTAGGGCGTGAGCAGTTCAGCTGAGTCACGTAGCATGTATTGTTCAAAGTTCTCCTCTGAGCGGTAATCATGGGGCAGAGCCCAGCAAGCTGCATGCCTGCACATGGCACCTGACTGCAAGACCTGCGTGATGTGTACAGACCTTAGGAGCTGTTCGGTGCAGAGACGGGAGATGACGAGAAGGAGATTAAGAAGCAGCTCGACTGCGAGCAGATGCCTTTGCTGTTGTGGAATTGGCCAGGGTTTGGGCTTACATCTACTGCACGGAAGGTCCGAAAAGTAGACTCCTCAATCAAGGACCGCGTACACCACGTCGGAAGATGGTAAGAATCATAACGCTAAGGGGATCTCTGTTTGGATGACTCCCCGAGAAATCTGGGTAAATCTCACCGAGCAGGCCACTGTCTTATGCACCGGCTTGGACGGAAACATCCCCAAGATCAAAACTTCATGGGCCACGGGTCCTGGCAGAGCAGATACATGGGGGCATCTTGGTGAGTAGCCGCTGAGGACTAGTTTTTATTCATTCGATTGCTCTACTGCATTATTGCGAGAGACAGCCGTGGAAGTCTGTTGTAGACGTCAGCTTGACGCCAATTCGTATGAGGACGCTACCCGCCAAAGAATGACCTTTGGAGCACGAATAGTTTCCCCCAAAAATGACGGGTATATTCGAGAGAGAATCCCCCACAGTAACCTGCTTGTTTGCTGTAAGTCTTGCCCGGTAAGGGGTGCCCATGGCATCTCCAGGACCAATGGGCTCAATTTTCAGGCTCCTCACTAAGGCCTTGCTTGAATAAACCAGGGAGCTCTTGCGATTCTTGTCGGGATATGGCTGCACTGTGCAAAACTGAAGTTCCAGGAACAGCCAAAAGCACTGCTCGTCATGAGCATTTCTCAGCTGGATCATTGGCATCATGGTTCTGGAATTCACCCTCGTCTTTAGTCATTCTGTAGTATTTGGGTCCTCAGATTTCCATCGTCCAAGGAAATACTATGACCTGCAGAAGCTGTGCCACCCCGACGTTGCCGGTCCGGAGGGAGAGGAGCTTGAATTCTCAGCTATTTCAAGCAGATCCCGTGGGGGTTTCCAGGGTGCAGACTCCTTGGTCTGAGCTGGTGCTAGGCCACCTAAACCTAAACCCTAAACCCCAACCCTAAACCCTAAACCCTAAATCCATGATTCAGGGTTTCTTCACCAGGCGGCTGGGCAAATCTTTAGACTCTGCCGTAAATAAGGCTAGAGTTGGAAGCCAGGAATGAGCGCGGTAGATGTAGACATGTCGTTGGCAGGAACATGTTGATGCTTTTTGTGCAGCCTCCCTAATAAGGGAAAATATTCTATTGGGATTATATAGGGACTATAACGGAACAAAGTGACTATCTTGGGGTAATGAAACACAAAATGGAAACTACTATTTAGGGTTTAGGAGTCCTGTGTCGCCTCTGCCCTGCCACCTCGGCTCTGGACGAGAATTTTGTCACCCTGGATCGTCGGAGACGATCTGCTAGCACAGCCTGAAACTGGAATCACCAAGAGGCTCACCTGTGCACCCTTCAACTTGTAACCCCCTACAAGACAAATATCCATGTTGATGTGGTGTTGAGCTAATATTGCCTATAAAACCCCTCATAGTAGTTTCCATTTTCTTTTCCATTATCCCAATATATAACCCCATTATAATATGTTTGCATTCCTTGCTGTTCCTGCGCTGCCCGGAGGAGATGTGCATTTTGCTGAACGATGCTTGGGACCTACTCTCAGATGAAGAGAAGCGGAAGGACTACGATGCCCAGATCCAGCTCCTATTCTGCACCCGGAGTAGGGTTTAGGGGATATATTGGGATAATGGAAAAGAAAATGGAAACTACTATAATGGGTTTTATAGGGTATATAATGGGGTTATAATGGGGTTATATTGGGATAATGGAAAAGAAAATAGAAACTACTATAGTATATTAGGGTTTAGGGTTTGGGGTTTAGGGTCTAGGGCTCCGAGTGAGGAGGTCCCAACTCAGTAGACTGTGCAGGAGTTAGCTCTCATGGCGCTTGAGGAAAAAGTAGGTGTAGCGGGTTGGATAAGAGGGCCCACCCACAAGGTTGAGATTGCACTTTCCAAGCCTGCTCCTCTTTAGCATTCTGTTGCTGAAGGCTTACATTGAAATATGCCCATGTCGATGCTATGACTGTGGAGCTTCAGGTGGATCGCTCACCAATGCTGCAGGGGATTTCTGGATTTCTCATATGATGTCTTGCAATTCCCCTTATAATATCTTCATCATTGTCCGTATCAGTAGAACTGTAGAACTGTTGCAAGTACTGCACACACTATCTTGTCATTCCATGATAAGACGAGGGTGCCTCGAAACAACAACTACCATTTCTCCCCCCATTCCCCCTTTTCTAATTAGGGTCAATCAAGGAAACCCGGGCTCACTCAGGATAGTTAAGGAGAACCCATGGGGGAAGTATAGGGGAGGGGACTAGTGCAATCCATTGAAAAACCAAACGCGTGCAATCTCCCAGACAGCCCAGTACACTTCAAATAAGGAGTATACTGCAGATGATACTAGGAGCCCTACTTATGTTTGGGCAAGATTGCTTAGTGAAGGGGATTTGGGCTTCTGGGCTTATGGCTTGAGCGCCAACTTTACGACTACAACTACCACTATCTGAGATGTTTATGGGCGGGCTTACGCCTTTAAATGGTAGTTTCCCTCAATAGGGGGACCCCAATACAAACCTCAAAATACTACAGTCTTTATTATGGAGACCCCCAGAAAGGTACCCCCAATTTAGGGAAACCCCCAAATGGGTCTCACTTGTTGGTTGTCATGTTTCTTTCTGTTTGGTGATGTGGCGCCAAAGGCTGAACGGAGCGCAGCCATAGTTCTAAGGACCCCAGGGAGCCCAATACCCCGTAAATAAAGCGTATACCTTAAATCAAATTAGGAGCCGCAATAGTATTTAAGGTATATTCCTTATTTTAGGGCTATTGGGCCCTCTGGGAAATCTCAGGGCAGCTTCCCCCACATAAGCCTTACATGGCAACCATATACTCCCAGGCTCCCCATGCAAGCCTTCTATAAGCCTTATGCAAGAGTACCCACCTGCTATCTACCCACCGGAATAGATTTTAGATCTATACCCTATAATCCCTACAGTCTATAACCCCTATATAATGCCTATAGTCCCGATATAATCCTAATATTACCCCAACGGGCACCTAGATACATACCCCCCGCCCCGTTTTGCTCTTGCAAGCCCTTGCAGGCCTGGCCGCTGGGTTTGGGGTTCAGGGGTTAGGGCAACCTCCCACCCTCCGACAAACCTCCACCAAAATTTGCCCAAACCCCAGAGGGATTGGTAGGAAGCTGGCGTCCACTTATAGCCCCGAAGTAGATGGAATATGGAATTGCCCAACAACATAATAAAGATCCCATATGCTGCACATTCTATCTACTCAAGGGAGATTATATAATATGTATGATGTATACCCTAACTTGAGGGGGGCTATGCCCCAACCCAAGTCTCCTCTGTCATTGCATACAACTCCAAGATGGCGCAGCCCTTCGTCTCAAAGCTTGCTTAGACGCGCTTGAGGTTTATCGTTGAGGGTTTAAGTCTTAGGTGCAGGGTTTAGGTCTTAGAGTTCGTGCAAGATGGCAAAACCCTATGAACCCGAAACCTTAAATTGGACTTTCAGAACAACCTTTTTATGATTCCTAAGAAGCGCACCCAGAATCCTCATATCATCCCTGCGTGGTTTGGGGTCCCAAACTTTAACCCTAAACCCTAAGCCAGAAACCCTAGACCCCAGACCCTTAAACTCTGAGGCTTTCGAAGCCGGCGTACCTCACGAAGGCTCCGATTTCCGAGGATTTATCCCCCATGTGGCAGGGGAAAAGGAAGACGTTGAGCCCCTCCTGCAAGATGACAAGTCTGATATGGATATAAGAGGATGCTTCCACATTCTCCCTGGAGAAGGAGACAATTTTTAGGAACTTCCCTTTCCATCCAGTGCTGATTCGTGGTAGGTCGGGAATGAAGGAAATGTAAAGACAATGTAAACTAGTTGCGTAGGGCCTATGTGGTCAGGATCGAGTCTGGGGAAGCATGTATGCGAAGGCTACTGTTACAACAGGATAGTAGCAGTGCTCACGCTTCTACATCCTCGTGAACACCACTAAACCAGGCTTCGATTTTGCCATGTGGCTCTCCAACGATGGCCTGAAACCCTAAATCCGAAGCTCTCTAAATCCTAAGCCTGAGTCCCCAAACCTTACATGAATCCTAAATCCTAAGCCCGAAGCCCTAAACCCTACCTAAATCCTATACCCCAAACCCTAAACGGTAGCATCCTTTGCCTGGATAAAGATCCTCCAAGGCCAGCCCAAAAAGGGCTTTATAGGGTTCTGCAGGGGTACATAGCGATGTATAGGATTTAGGGTTTAGGGACTTTCAAAACTTAGGGAGTCCCTTCAAAGGGCTTTACGTGGGCTTTGTACGGGTACAGTATGTAGGGATCCAGGGTTTAGGGGTACTATCCCCAATAATGGGGATCAAATAGAACATAAAAATTGAAAAGGAATTGGAAACCTTGGTTTTGTTCGAGGTTTATAGGGTTTGGGGGATTGCAAAAATTGGCGGACACTTTTGGGGAGCCCAATGGTAATAATTATGTTGCATTTCAGGCGCCCTATGTATGGAAAAACCGGCACATGGGACTAACCCTGACCGATCCGCCCACAAGCAGGCTCTGCTTGTGGGTGAAGCAGGGGTTTCCTAAAATTGAAGATATTTTTGGGGGGTTCCTCATCATAATAAGGATTATAGCAGTTGGGGTCTACATTGGGGACCCCCTATTTCTGCAAACTACCAAACATGAATGAGCGTTTATTGATGTGTTGCAATTGTTTGCCTAGTACTATGATCAGTTGTTCTGGTCAGACTCCATGCTGTGTGGAGCTTACTAGCCCTTATGAGCATTACAAGAAGTCAACTGGAACTAGCAGTGCCGTGCGTGTTGTGGATTGTGGCGAGCACATTCAGGGCTTAGGTTTTAGGGGTTTAGGGTGCATGACGAGTGGGGGGGAAATCCGTATGCGCCATATTGCCAGCAACATGCGTAATTTTCTGAGCAGAAGAAGCAGAACCTGCACACCCTGCAGAAGCATCCCTGTTCTACTAGTCGTATTCCTCCTGCCTCCCTGAACTGTATAAAGCTTTGGTAGTTTAAAAGTAAACCTTGAGCCCTGAACCATATTCCTTAACCCCTCCACTGGGAGCCCTTAGGCCAGGACCCCAAACCTAGATTCCTGCTTCAGTCTTTACTGCCCTAGACCCTACACCCTAAACCCTGAACGCCCAAAAAAGTCCTAAACCCTAAACCCTGAACGCTCAAGGAAGCACCACTCGGATTATACTGGGAGACTCAGTTGGCAAGAGTTGATTGCAGGCTCAAGGGTTGAGGTTGGGTACCGCCCCAACTCTGTGGCAGTTGCATAACATTATTATGAGATTAAGTGGATTACAGATACAACCCCTGGTTGTAACGGACCTTGGCAGCGTAGACTTGGTGCCCGTCGCCATGATGCAATCTTGCTGCACCAACAAGAGTCATGTTGAGTTTTCTTTACCGCATGAGCAGATTAGAATTATGTGGAGCTCCTTGAAGTAGCGCAATGGAACAGTGTGCACGCTTTGCAGATTCTAGTTTATTGTTCGGTGCTCTTTGCTGAGGATCCCATTGTCCCATTCGAAGTGGGAAAGGGTGCCACCTGAAGAGCGTGGTGAGAAGCATCAAGCGCAAAAGAACCCCGGCAAGTTAGAAGCCGGCAGATGAGGTGTCCTGCAGTCAAACACATAAAATGTCACTCCGAATGCCCGAGGATGCTCTTCGTAGATGAGTGGGCCTGCATTTGTTGCCGCAACTGCTACTCGCCTGCATCCTGACCCGCCAAGGGTGTGCTCCAGTCATGATAGCCGACAGGTGACCTTACAACTCTCTGAATTCAAACGAGGCTGCGATATCGCTCCGCAGTCTTTCTGCATTCAAAATGACAACGGCATCTCGGCCACGCTGTCAGGGTTATGCGGCCTTCCTCTTTCACGTCTTCTGTTGGGTTGGTATCAGCAAATCTCAGCCACAGTAGAAACGGCGTCAGATTGGATGGTAATACCAATAGTAGTTGCAGATATCTCAATAGCACAGGAGGCGCGATGAATGAAATGAATGAATGAACTAATCAATGAATGAAAAATGAAATCAACGAATGCATGTATAAATGACTGGGTGGGGGGGGTCCCTCAGAATGCCACCGCTTCTTCAAAACCACATTTCAGGCCAGCGCATCCCTGCAACCCAGTGTCTGGGCCCCTTACCCTCGCAAGAACACCTTGCGAACGCCGAAGGGCTTATTACCATAACCATTTGAAGTATCTCCGAGAAAATCTGTCAGAATATTAAGATTATCAACCACGATTCAAGAGACAGAGGCCGACTCATCAGAATCCATATTCAGATATCTGCTTGGCTCAAACCCCTGTCAAGAGTCTAAGTGCTAAGTAGCAAGTAAATTCTCAAAATGGCCCCTGTATGATCCGTACTCGGGACCACTGTATTTCCTTAAGAAGCAAGAATAACCCTACCGTTGCTTGGGCCCCCCCTTTTCAAGAAACACCCGTATCTTCTCCGAGACTATTGTCTACTTTGTTCAGACGAAGACAAGCTGGAAGTTGAAGCAGGAAGCATTAGGATCAACTCCTCCGAACTTCATTCATGAGATGCCGACTCATCTGAGCTATAGTCTAAACTCCTTAAAGAGGGTTGTATAGGGGGTTATGTATAGGGAACTACTATAGGGGGTATTAAGAGGGATACTAGGAGTTTAGGCTATAGCTCATATTGTCCCTGCTGTGTCTAGTTTTGCGAAATGTGGTGAAGTGGGGGGACTCGTCTGGGATTCTGGCGCGGACACATGACACCACTGCATCACTGCCTTGTTTCTCGCAGTTGCGTAGTTGTTGGTTCACCTTAGTACGTGGACCCCTATAGATTTACTTGGAGCCGCGCTAAACCCTGATTTAGAACCCCCCAAATTCGGCGTTTGCCGCTCCAAAGGACGCGCAAATGTCTACATGCAGTGGGGCAACACAGAGGACCTGGGTTCGGGTTTAGACCCTTGCTGTTGCCATGACTACTTGGAGGTTGCGGTTCAGTATAACTTATCCTTTCTTATAACTGTGCATATAAGCCATGTTCAAACCCCCTTAGCATTCGAAGAGGGTTAAGAATTGCATTGTAACGGAGCTTATAACTTGGTTATAATTACCCCAAACCTCCATTTTTAAGCGTATGGAGTCGAGCGCTTGGGGATGAGGGTCTAAAGGTTTGAATATTGTTTGGGAGTAGGAGGGAATATATAGGGCTTTAGGGTTTTGGGTTTGAGGATTGTAGGGATGATAGAGATGCTAGGGGAACTTCATAGGGGACTTTCGGAGAGATATCCAACAAGCTGCCAACAACATCTGATGGTAGTCTGAACATGCGTCCGTAGATTGCACCTCCTCATCTGTCTCAGGTTTCCATCTTTCCAATAGCACATCGGATCTCCCTAAACCCGAAACCTTGGAGAGCCCAAGGGAAGGTCATACTAGCGGCACTCACACCAGAGCCAAAGTTCCGGCATTCTCAGGCAGAAATGGAGGTGCGCAGGCTTTTGCAACAGTAGCGCATGGCGCACAGAACAGCATGACGCACACAGCTCAAATCATGCAAGCTAGGAGTCTGGATTATCTAGCACCAGTGCTGTGTAAGAGTCCTACCCATATGCTGGGACAAAAAGCCGCAAAAATCACCCCAGCAACCAAAACTCGAGACCCCTGGATCAGAGATTCCAAAGCGCGAGGAGTATCTGGACTACGCCGTGACGTCCTGCCCTGTTGATTGCACCTTGGACTCTTCAGCCATTGTTCCTTCCCCCAAATGACACCACCCTAGTGTCGTGGCTCGGACACTCCACTCTTAAAGGCTGCGCGCTGACTGACCATTTAAACCCTAAACCCTAAACAGCACGAAAACATGCCAAGGTATCTACTGGGTGAGCCGTGAAGAGCTCCAGGCAGTGGCTGGAGCTTCTGGGAGTCCGGGAAAAGGTTCAAGGGCAGGGGTGCAAGGGTTTAGGGTTTAGGGATATGGGGTGGTGGGGCAGCCCCACCAGATTTCGTTTGGGCACTTGAGGGGTGATCTTCACGCACGTTCTGGGTGGATATGAGGTGCCTGGGAGGCGGTACGTTGCCGATGTCATGGGGAACTTAGACTACATCTGGGGCAACCCGAATTCAATGAACATCTTAGTCTCACGGCGGCTTGTCTTAAATGGCGTAGAGAGGCTTTACTTCATTGGACTCACTGTCCTTTTGCTGTATCACTGCTCACGAGATTTGTGTGTGTGTGTACATGTATAGTTTGTTCTGGCTATAAGTACTGCTGTTCGCAGTGCTTTCAACCCCTTCATATTACTATTGAACTAACACTTTGGGGGCACGTATCTGCAGATTAGGGGTGGCGGTGTGTTTAGTATTGGTATGAAGCAATCCCTGAAAAGTACCGAATATGCCGCACACCCTAGTGCAGGGCCCATGCATGATTCAGGATACGCAGTACAAGTGAGCGATGTGAGGACCTCACTTGACTTCCCAACTATATCCTAAGAGCTCCGAAGGGCACCCTAATTTGAGAAACCCTTGCTCAAAGTCCCTGCTCTGTGTTGGCAGGTCTTGGAGTACGTCCGGTGCCCAAGCCCGCGTATGCACAGCATCACGGGCTGGCTTAGGAACGGAACTACGTAGTACAAATGTTCAAGGGGCTTTCTAGAGGAACACAAGATTTCTTGGAGATAACTTTCAGGTTGGTACTAGTAATGCCGAATTCTCGGGGCATACAGTCCATGTTCTTATTTCCATTCCCCATGGAATCCCTATATCATCCCTATTATCCCCTATAACTCCCATGTACATCCCCATATATCCCAGACATGGATGGGCCAAGGACAGACGCCCCTGGGGTCCCTAAGCCCCCCCCCTTTTCCAGAAATCCTCTGGGCTGCTATTAAGGAGCATTTTAGGGTTTAGCGTTTGACCAAGTCACTGGAGTAATGTAAGCTGTCAAATAAGGAAACCCTGCTATTTACTGTATACCCATATTATGGTAACTTACCTTCTGTATTGCGGAAACCCTGTTATGTACGGTATACGCATATTATGGTAACTTAACTTTATAGTTCCTTAACAGCAACCCAATCCTGAGGTCACCGCTGAAAAGATGGTAGACGACAAGCTAGCCCTTCCTTGTCCACTCAGCGCTCGGCAGGCCAACCATACAGTTTAGGGCTTACGGTTTTTAGTGTTTTTTGGGTTTACGGCTTTCAGGGTTTTTGGGGTTAGGGTTTTAAGCTTCAGGAGTTTAGGGTTTGTACGGTTTAGGGTCAGGGTAGGTGGGCCCCCACCCAGTGGTCGGGACTATAAGGGATGATGGTGATTGTATTAGGGTCCTCGTATTGTTCTATTACACCACTATTACAGGATGGGGGGTCCACCGAAGGTATAATAGTTTAGTCGCCGTGTATTATACCCCTTTGGCGACCACCATTATTGGGCTTATTCAGGGAAAGTGAGGGCGAATCATGTGAGCCATAATCTAAATTCCTTGAAGGGGGTTATATACGGGAGTATATGGGGACTATTGTAGGTGTTATTAAGGGGGATACTAGGAGTTTGCACTATGTCTCATGTAGTTAAACCTAGTTTGGAGGGAACCTAGGTGCGCCGGTAGTGGTTACGGATCCCCTGGGTACTGCCAAGTTCTCAGGGTTTTGGGTTTGCCCATATGTTGCGGACAAGATTTGATTAGCGGCTGGGGCGTTGAATGTCAGAGGGGAATAATTTGGGTAGCATTGTTCAAAAGAGATAGAAAAAGGCTCCAATAATAGAGTAAGAGGATATTCTGCTCCTTGCTGGAAGAAAGTCATGATGCTGGGCTCAATCACCAGAAAGGCTTAATTAGCGGCTAGCCTAAACCTTCAACCCTAAACCTTAAACCCTAACCTTAAACTTTAACCCTAAGCCTTATAGTAGTTTCCATTTTCTTTTCCATTATCCCTATATAACCCCAATGCTAGAAACTTGCCAACCCTAAACCCTAAACCAGTTTGGTTTGGCAGGGCACCATGGCTGAAGAGATGTACGACCCATTCTCGGCCGCAAATGGCTTCAAAGCGAAGCTAGCAGAAGAAGAGAGGCTGAAAGGTTTAGGGTTTAGGGTTTAGAGGCTGAATCAGGGATCAGGGTGTCTTCGTTTTCAGGACGATACGGGTATCCTTCCCCCAGCCTGGACAGCCCCATCAGCTTGTATACTTGCTGGTGGTTCGGTTGGTAGGGAATAAGGGAGTATAATCCCTATAGAGTCCCTATATAACATTTCCTAAACCCTAAACCCTAAACATAGTCCCTTATATATCCCACTAAACGACAGTAAGTATAAACCCTCACCCGGAGCTGAGCCCAATTAAAGGGCTCTTTGAAGAGGGGGTAGTTCGAGCTCCCCCACCCCCACACAGGCACTTGCAAATTTACGATCTCCACGAAGAGGCAATGCTTCTCTGGGTTAGTAGGGAGTGAGGGAATACATCATACAGGGATTATTCTAAATTGCGGTTACATTCCCTTATTCCCTACTAACCACTAGTAAGAAAAGCTAAACCGCAATAATAGCAGCAAAATGCCAAGGAAACGTCCACAAGCAATGAAGACGGCAGTTGGATCAGTTAACTAGCAACAACGGCAGTAAGGGAATATGATCCCTATAGACTCTATAGAATCTATTCCCTTATTCCCTACCCAGCCCCCGTCAAGACGAGACAAGTGCAATGCTGGGAGGCTTCGTGCGATGCGGGCCCAGAATGCAGCCGATTCTGTTGACTCGTGGACACAGAGGCTGTCTCAAGGGGCTTAGGATTTAAGGTTTAGTTAGGGTTTCCAACATTGTCAGGCTGTCTTGTCACTGTTG